TTGCCAACACGTGAACCTTGGGGGACTCATTCAGACCGTAGGCTCTTGCTAGTGTAGCTGCCTGAGGGAGAAGGGAAGCCTGACCTACAAAGTGTCTGTAAGTAAATAAACATTTAAATTGTAAGCTACTGAGATGGCAGGGGTCAGTTGTTGTCACAGTGTGGCCCAATCTCTCCTGGCTGGTCCAGTGAAGCACCAAGAGATGGGAGGTGGTTTGGGCCAGCTGCTTGACAGTCAGTGGCAGGACCAGGCTTGGGCTCAACTTCCCTCGGGTGTTTCTCTCTTGGACACCCTTTTCAGAGATGCAGAATACAGTGCGAATACAGTGAGCTATGTTTAAGGCCCATCTCAAGATGATATCTGGCCAGGACTCTTGTCATGGTGACACCTGGTGAGAGGCACACCTACCAAATATCCTCAGTCACAGAGGACCAGCCGGTGTGGCAGGTGTCTGGGACTCAGTCTCCCATTAAGTGTTATTAGCCTGGCCCACAAGCAACCCTCCTGGCCCTGTCATTACCACTTCCCTCTGCTCCTGCTTGGACCAGATCCAGGACTCTCGGAGAACCAGCTTTGGGAATGACACTCTCAGGGCAAAGGCCTCTGGTCCCAAAGGCCAAGCCAGGCAAGCAGGGCTCCCTGTTCTCAGCTGAAGAAGCCTTAGCTCAGTTCCACAAACATTAGGTGTGGATTATGAGTCAGGCATAAGGCTATGTGGTAGTGTAATGTATGTAGTACAACATGTGTCGAGGGGTACACTGTGCATAGTAGAGGACCATACGGATAGTTTTGTACAATAGGTATAGCATAAGCCCGGCAGAGTGGCATACACCTATAATCCCAGCACTAGGTGGGGCTGAGGCAGGAACATCGGTTTGGGACTAGCCTGGACAACTTAGTAAGACCCTGTCTCAAAAAAATTTTTAAAAAGGGGAGGGGGACTAGGGATGTAGCTTAGTATAAAGGTCTTGGGTTCAACACCCCAGTACTGGGGGCGGGGCAAAGATAGTCAAGGTATAATATAATGATTGGTATAGTTTTTTTTTTTCCTTGTTTCTTCCTCTCTTGAAAGCTTGGCCATTTTCCCTTCCTTTGATTGCATGACGGGATATTGAAACATCAAATTGAAGCCACAGAGCCCTGAGTGAGGTGACTTGCAGAATAAGTTGACACATTCCTCACTCCTAATTACCTGGCGATGACACTGGCCTTCCACTTCCTCAGCCCCACCCATTCTGCTCTGGTTAGGAATTCCAACTGTGACTTCTGCTTAACCTCCCTGAAGCACCATTGTTTTCTGTCTTCACTACTAGAATATAAACTCAAGAATAGGGTTTTGCTTTATTTTGGTTTTATTTACTGTGTCCCCAGTTTGTAAAATGGCACCCAAGCATTTGTTGAATGACTGCTAGACTACAAGAAGGCCCATACCTCTTCCTCTGGTGCTCTCCCTACCTCAGTACAGTGTTTTATCCATGACTAGGGAGACTGACAGCCCTCATGCATGTGCCTCTTCCTCCCTGCTTCACCTCCTGACTTGCTCTGCAATCCCACAGGGCTGAGCCCTCATCCTGGACCGTACTCGCCTCTGAGTCCATGAGCTCCTGCTTGTCCCTCAGTTCTCACTGACCTCTGTCCTGTGGCCCCCAAATTTCCCCATATTCCATACCTTTTCAGACTCAGCTCATCTACCTATCTGTCTTGTCACCTAGGCTGCCAGCTTGGAGAGGATGGGACCTAAATGTCCTGCTCACCACTGTGTTCTCAGCTGCCAGGAAAGCACATAATAGGTGCTCCAATGCTGGGTGAACGCGTGAAGGCCAGACCACAGCCAGCACGGAATCGTTCGATCCACTCAAGGGAGACCAGAAGTCACCTACTGGAGATGCAGGAAGTGTGGCCTGGCCTCTGCTTATTGAGGGTCTCCACTGATCATCCCCTTGACAGCATTGCACTCAGGATCAAGAAAATGGCCCCAGTCTACTGTTTCTCTCCTCAACCCCCAAGTCAGACTATCTTGAGTAACAGATAGTAAGAGATCAGAATAATAGTGTTCACAGAACTATTCAATTTGAGAGCTATTTATTGAACATCTACCATGTTGCCAGATGCCATATTAGGTCCTAGAGATGAACATAACGAGGTCCCTACCTCAAGGCTATTGCAGTCCAGCACCCTTGCTGCATCTGAGGGTGCTTCACCTTGCACCTTGGAAGAGGGGTCTGCCTTCTGTCTGCTGGCCCCATGCGTCAGAGTCACACCTGGGTTTGTTAAAACCCAGATCCTGGGTCCCACCTCCAGAGTTTCTGACCCATTAGGTCTGAGGGAGTCTGGTAATTTCCATCACTAACAAATTCCCTGATGATGTTTATTCTGCCCATCAGGGGCTTACACTGTGAGAGCCACTGCCTAGACTCTACTAGTCTGGCAGTTTTCACAAGTGTTAATATCTATGCCGTCTTGTAGTTGTCCCAGTTTCTCCCCTGGCTAAGTGCTCACACCATGAACTCAGGCCTCCCTATTGAACACTGGCCTCTCTCAGAGGTGCCAGACGGCCTGCGAGCAGTTCCCAACACCACCAGAATTCTGGGAAAGCTGTCACAGGTCCAGCTGGAGGAAGCTGTGGAGAATTGAGGGAGATGTTCCTGGGAGGGAAGGTGGCAAGGTTTGTCTTTTGCTTCTAGAAACAAAACAGGCTTGGGGCAGGATGGGCTGAGAAAGTACAACATGGGGGCAGACAAGGAGCAAGTGACACTGTACTAAAAGGGAAGATGCTGCTGTCCCAGGAGGGCCTCTTGGTCTATGGTGGGTGGAATTGGGACTGTCTTGAAGGCTCTGGCTGAAGAGGTCATGCCTCCATGAGGTCAGAGTGGCCTTCATTTAGTCCCAGGCTGTCTCTTCCACCCAGAATGGGCTGTGTATGGTGGATGTCTAAGGGCCAGTGCCTGCTAGCCCAGCACCTCAGACAAGCACTTCCTCCCTGCCCGCCCTGAAGGCCCAGGGACTCTGTCTGGACAATCCCCCAGTGTCCAGGCTGGGCTGGCCTGGAGACAAGACTTGGGAGGGAGGTGCAGGGAGAGGCCACCTCCTGAAGGAGCTGTATCCTCCATGGGCAAGGAAAAGAGACATGGAAGTATGAGCTCACATGGACGGCCTCCTCCGATGCATGTTTCTGAGAAGGAAGCCAGCCCCAGAGAAGGAAAATAAACTCTGGACACATATTTTTAGAAAGTGGACAAACCCTGTTCCTCAGTATGCAGTGGACTTGAACTCTGAAACCAGCTTGTTGTGTCTCGAAGCAGAAGGTCAGTACCCACTGGCTGCATGCAGAAAGGGGACCTCTGTGAGCTGCCAGAGCTCTCTGTCTGGCTGCAGCTGGCCCTCTGCCTGCTTTCCCCAGAGCTGTGTGGGAACACTGGTGACAATGGTGACAATGGTGAAAACCGGGTACATGGTAGGCCCCAACACGTGTGATCTCATTTAGCTCTTAAGTGACCCTGTGAGGTAAACACATTGACCCTATTTTTTTCTTTTCTTTTTTTTTTTTGGTACTGGGATAGAATTCGAGACCTTGTGGTTGTGAGGCAGGTGGCAGAAACATTGAGCTAAATCCCCAGCCCTACATTCACCCTATATTTTCAGATGAAGAGAATGAGAGTGAGTCAGTTCCATAGCAAACAGTCACAGGATGGCAGATTCAAACTCAGGTGGGAGCTGGGTGTGGCGGCAAACATCTGTAATCCCAGTACTCAGGAGCCCCAGGCAGGATTGCCATGAGTTCAAGGCCAGCCTGAATTTCACAGTGAGAACCTGACTCAACACCTCCCCCCGCAAAAATCAACCAAATTGAGGCGGAGATGATGATAAAGCCTATTCTACACAAACTGTGGCAGATCTCAGTATTAGAAGGGTCACACTGGCCATAGGACAATTTCTCACCTATTTTCTCACCTCCATGGGGCAGGGTGCTCTTTCCATTCCAGCCAGTCTATATGCTATACAGTTTTCTGTACTGAGTTGAAATCTAACTTCTTCTTTTTTTTTTTTTTTCATTTCTGGTGATCGAACCCAGCCATGCTCTACCACTGAGCTAGCTACTCTCCTGGACCTTTAGTTTTTAATTTTTTTTTGGTACTGGGGATTGAACTCAGGACCTTGCTCTTGCAAGGCAGGAGGCAGCACCACTGAGCTAAATCCCCAGCCCTAATTTTTTATTTTTGAGACAGGATCTTGCTAAGTTGCCCAGGATAGCCTCAAATTTGTGATTATCTTGTCTCAGCCTCCAGAGTAGCTGGGATTACAGGCATGAGCCACCACATCTGGTTTAATGGTAACCTGGAGTTACCTAGCATGGTAACCCTTTGTGCCTTTCAGAGCCTTTCCATTCTTTTATTTCCAGGTTCAATGTGTCTAGTCATTTCTTTCATCCAGTTCTCTGCTCCTCATAAATAGTGGCAGACTTTCACGGGGAATCTAAAATCTTGTATAACACTAAAATATATCATTTTGAAATCCTGCAGATCTGATTTTTAGGAAGCGCAAATAGTCACTTGGAATCAAGATTGTATGAGGTGGGAGATTTGGACAGGTAACTTTCCTGCTAGCCCACCATGTGCTTTTATCTTTGCTCTCCCTCCTTCTCTCAAGCTCGTTCTGCAGAGCCAGCTTCTCTCCCACTCTTCATTTTTGCTTTCTTGAGTAAACTTGGCCCCTGCTTTTTGGTCATTTCATTCAATTCTTTGTTCCAGATGAAAGGAACCTGGGATTCAGCTCCAGAAGGAGAGGCTAGCAGCCCGGATCCTGGTAATGTTTAGTTGGGAGCCACTTTGAGAAGCAGCTGCCTGGTAACGGGGAGGGATCAGCCAGGAAAGACAGCCTCTTCCAGTCTTTCCCTCACTGTCCATTGCCACACTGTCCCTGCCAGCCTAAACAGAAAGAAACAGTGATTCTGGGCACGAATTCCAGGCCTAGGAATAAGCTAGAATTTCAAGACCCATCAGTCAGATGTGACAACTTTATTCCACACAGGTGTGGGTAAGGCTGAGGCAGGAGAATCTCTTGCTTGAGGCTGGTTGGGCTATGTAGTGAGTACAAGACCAGTCTGGATGACAGAGTGCGATCTTGTCTCAAAATGTGAAGACAGAGGATGCAGTGTGAGTTCTGGGAATCCCAAATGCAGCTTGAAACCTTTGAACCCTGCTGCAGCTGCATTGTTTCTAAATCTTCTGAGCTGCTGGGATGGGAATGAAACTGTTGACACTCCAGTATGCACAGGCAAGCTTGAAAAGAGAGAGATTAGTAACGTAGGAGCAGTTACAGGAAAGGAGCCAGAGGTCTGTGATGAGTGGCTGCAATTGTACTGGGCTGCAACCCTTTTTAATTTGATAAATCTAACTTGCCTGGGCTAGGCTCAAACTTGAAATCATCCTGCTTCAGCCTCCCAGAGTGCTGTATCACGGGCATGCGCCACAACACCCTGCTAAGGAATTGTTCAAGTGTTTCTCCTTGAAGGTGTGATGCTAGAAAGCGATTGCAGAAGCAGCCAGCTGTCCTGCCCACAGTGACACCCGGATAAAGGCCGATTCTGGACCAACACCTCTGGAAGACCGAGACTGCAGAGAGGAGGAGAAATCGTGCAGGAAATGGGGTGTGGGACTCGAGGTAAGCACTTGCCAGCATGCACAAGGCTGGAGCCCTAGCCTGTGCCGCAAAGCAAATGAATACAAGTGGTGGGAATTCAGACACCAGCAGGGGTTTGCAGAAATGTGCTGTCTTGAAAAGTGCCTGCAATTCCTTACCTCTGTACTCAGCACAGCGAGGCAGGCTGTTGGGTACAAAGGTCCAGACGGGACTTCAGCCTGAGCTGGGAGCCTGACGGAGCCTGACTTGGTCTCTCCGAGTGTGTTGTCCTTCCTGCATGATGTGTTTTGGATTAGATTTTTATTTCTGTGATGGTGGTAGTGCTACTTACAAAGTTACCCATTGAGCTACACACCCCTTCCTAGTTTTTGTTTGAGGCAGGGTTAGTCTCCTAGGTTCCATCCTCCTGCCTCAGCCTCCCAAGTGCTCGAACTACATTTTCAAAGTTGGCTTCAGCTCAGTGATTCTCTATCTCACTATGCACAAAACATGACAATGTCTTAATTCTGGTACAAGGTTTGCTTTCAAATGGAATTCACTGACTAATAAATTGAACCAATGACTTTTGTCCCTGATTACAGTGGACCCTCGAGTTACAACTGGCCTGACATACGAACAACTTGGGTTATGACGGATTTTAGTTTTAACTTAAGATCAAAGTCTCAAGTTACTACCTGAATGCCAGCTGCTTGTGCTTCCTGATGGTCTCAGATACAGATTTAGCCCTTAAAGAGTTCTGGAAGGAACATGACAACATCCTTTCCTGTGTGAGGTTAACTGACAAATCCTGGGCCAGTATCACTAAGGACCCTGAGATCTGCCTGTAAACAGGAGAGAGACTTTGAAGGCTGTGTAGAGGAGCCTGAGCTTCAACTCACCAACTTGAGTAACAACCAGCCTTTGGGAATAGATTGAGTTCTTAAGTCAAGGGTTCACTCTATTTTTTTTCTAAAGAAGATAAAGACTATTTTATTATGTTGGAAGTTAAAACCCTGCTTATCAGTGATTTCCAAATAAGACTGACCATCAGAATCAAGTTTTTTCCTATCTTGGCTCTCACACTCTGTCTCATTTATATATAGGCTGTTTTCATTGCCACTGTGGATTTCCTTACTTGCTAGGAATATTGCATTCAGTGGCTCAGTGTGCCTCAAAATCATCAAGAATTCCACGTTATCCATTTTTTTCTGAGTGCTCTTTAGCCCCAGTCATCAGTCCAGGCAGTGACCATGGACTCTGGACCTAAACTTGCTTCAAGAGGTGTGTGAGGAAGGGGTTCTCAGTCCCACGGGTGCTGTTCTGACCCCGTGGCCTCAGATCGAGGGGTCCCCCACAGACTGGAGATGAGAGCCGAGCAGGACGTGGTCCTGAGGCCTAGAAGAAATAAAAGAGGAGGAGCCGGGCGTGGTGGGCCATACCTGTAATCCCAGTCCTTGGGAGGCTGAGGCAGGAGGGTCATGAGTCCAAGGCCAGCCTGGGGTACATAGCCAGACCCTGTCCCAAAAAACCAAAGAAGGAGAATGAGGCAATGAAACAAAGGAAATACAGTTTTCAGTTTTTACACAGATGATGAAAATAAAAACTAAAAAGTAAAATATGTAAAGAAATAGAGATGAAAAGATAGGCCTTGGAATTAATGACTGACAAAATAAAGCATGCTCTATTCACAAAAAAGAAAGAAAGAAAGAAAGAAACTGAAAAAAAAATAGTTTTTTTCCCCCCCTTACTCTGGCCTAATCTGGCATAAAGGTAGATATTTCTAGAAGAAATTTACAAAAAATAATTTAGAAGATAGCATTATTAGATGAAGACAAGGCAAGAAGACACTATTCTTTGGGAGCAGCCATATCTCAACAGAATGAAGTAAAAAGTGTCAGTAATACCATCACAGGAATAGGCAGAATTATAATAATTTATGACAAGATAGGAGACTGACCACAAGGTCGCACTGGATTTCTGTCACAGTGGGGATGGGGCTGGAAACTCACCACGGTGAAATAACCTCCTCCCCTCAGCTTCCTCCTGGGGCCAGGCGGCCCTGTGTGGATGCCCAGGCTGAGGCAGGCTGCTGGTTGGATCCATGTCTCTGGACTTTCTGCTGACGCCTGGTTGCCTTTCCAGTAACAGCCAGGACTTCAAAGGCCTGCCAACGAATGGATGGGCAAGCCCTAAGAACCGAGCTAGCTGCGGTGCGCGGTGTGTTTAGGAGCCCTGACGTGGGGGTGGTGGAAACTGGCAATTCCAGGTTCCAAGACAGAACCAAGTCCTGAGGGGAGGGAGGGAAACAGGGAGCAAAGGACCTGCCTTGAACTAGATGGCCCCAGGCAGAGGTCGAAGGCTCCAGACTCCCCAGGATCTGGCCCCAGCTACTGGCCTGCTCAGGCCTGGCACACTCAGACCTCCCTCACTCAAAGTGGCCACCCCACCCTGCTCTCTGCAGGGCTCTTCACCAGGTCTGTCTTCCAGATGACACAATCTTCTTCTTTTTTCCTTCTTGTCCCTATAGACAAGTCCCTGGTTCCTAGCAGTGGAAAAATAACTACAAATCAGGGATAAGCCCTGGAGAGAACAGAAAGAGAGTCTGTGGGAGGCAAGAAAAGCTCTGTAGAAGAGAAACAAGATGGCAAAGCACGCTTCTCTGGACACCAGTTTAGAGTCCTACAAACTTGGGAGAGAAGGCTGGAAGGCAACAACTGTGGCACAGGTTGGGCAGTATCAGTGAAGGTACTCGAAGCAGAGTCCGTAGTCCAGGCCACTAGAATAGGGAAAATGGTGACCCCCACAAGACCCTGAGGAAGAGAAGCCTATCAGTGAGTGACCATGGTAGGTAGTCACAGGATAGAGAATATTTGGCACCACTCATTGTCTGCCATATAGAAAGGTCACAAGGGTTTGCTGAAAGAATGGACATTGTTGGATTGAGAAAAAAAAGTTTCAAAGCCTGTGATCCCAGCACACTAGGGTGGAAAAGTTTGAGCTCAACCTGGGGAAACTTAGCAATTTAGTCTCAAAATACAAAATGATGAAGACTGGGGTATAGCTCAGGGTGAAAGACCCTGGGTTCATTCCTAAGGAGGGAGAGACAGAGACAGACACACACACACACA